CTACATTGCAGGTTTGGGGCCACAGAAAACAGGTGTTTTCTTGAATTGGGTGCAATAAGACCCAGTATATGCCACAAGGGCAGACAAATGTTGGTACTATAATCTTAATATTATGATGAGATGGCTTACATTTCCTAACTTTGAACTGTTCAATTTTTTAACTTTAACTTTGCATTTAAGCTTTCACGATTAGTGTTATTTTAATTCTGTAAAAATCAGTACATCAAATATAGAGAAAATACTAGTACATTATTAGTATCAACACTGACATCACCCTCTCTCGGCATAAGCACTTGAGCCTGTTAGCTGGCCTTTCTTGATTTTCTAGTTTTGCTCAATTAACTTTGCTTTGCTCCAACAAAAATATTAGCCTAAAAATACTGTATGTTGCCTGAAAACTGCATTTAATTCTGAGTCTAGGAGTGCTTTTGTTTTGTTTTGTTTTTCCAGGAAGGGCAGAGATAATAAATCAAAAGTTAGTCTTTGGGAAACAAAAACGGGGAGGAGATGAACATGTAGAAAGATAGACTGGAGAAAGGAAGGGTGAGACAATATAAGAGGAACACACAGGGATAGCATAATAATACCTCCTAGCTGCCATGTAGTACTTTCACCTGCAGATCTCAACGCACTTCCAGGGGACTTAAATGTAGCACACCCCCCCCCCCCCATGTTTACAGCCCAGGAAACTGAGGCACAGGCTGGTGAAGAGTGTAACTGGGAATAAGGGGCTGACATTACGAAGGGGACCGGGAGAAGAAAGGCGTAGCCCCGGTGCTGTAAGAAGCGGGGGCAAGGGGGAAGAGAGGTGCAGCAAGAGGGAGGGCGGCCACCCGCAGGAGGGGGCGGCAGGGGCCCTGGCAAGGGGACAGAAGGGGAGAAGGGCTCCGGGACCAGCGGGAGGGGAAGGCAGAGCGGGCCCCGCTGCCCACGCGGCTCTAGCTGGACCGGGGCCTCCGGCCCTCTCTCCAGTCACCTTGTTGATCTCTTCCTCCTCGGAGGCCGAATCCCCCTGCTCCGAGTCCGAGTCCTGCTCTTCCCCGTCCGGCTCCCGCCGCTCGGGCGGCCCCGGCGCCCTCCGCTTGGCCCGGGTAGCCATGCCGCCGTCCCGCCGCCGCCGCCGCGCGCAGGCGCCCCGGAGCCGGAAGGCCGCAGCGCGGAGGAGGAGCGGGCAAAGGACCGGGGCGGCCCCTGCCGGTCCCCCGCACGCAGGTGAGCGGCGGGAGGGGCCCGGCCGCTGCCCAGCCTGGGGGCTGTGGCTGAGAGCGGCCCGGGGAGCCGTGCGCTGCAGCCGCCGCCGCCTGTGTGAGCGCGGCCTGGGGCCGCGGCGGGGCCCAGAGCCGGGGGCAGCCGGGGGCGCGGGGGTGGCCGAGGGACGTGGAGATGGGGTGGCCGGGGCTCCTGGTGCACAGGGTCTCGGAGCATGGAAACATGGCAGGGTGGGGGCGAGGGCACGGTCTGCGGGACACGGTCTGCGGGACACGGCAGGGAAAATACCGGCTCTGCGTCTTTGTGTGAAGCCCAGGAGCTTGACAGCAGGTGAACTCCGCAGAAGAGCCCGGCCTCCCTGTGCAGAGTCTGAACAGCGGCCACTCTGTTCCCCGGTGTTTGCAAAACCAAAGGGGTTTAAAGGGTATGAGTTAAAAAAAAACAGCTCTCCTTTGTGTTTGTTTCTGTAATTTCGTAATCCTGGGAGGTTTCTAGTGATACGTGGCATCTTACATGGTAGATAAAACCTGAATTTCTCATGTAAAAATCAAGCAGAACCCTCCTATCCTTCGCTTTTTAGGCCTCCTTTATACATCATAAAGAAGCAAAAAAAAAAAAGGGGGGGGGTAAAAGCCCCTCCCTTTGCAGATCACCTTATACAATTTACATTAGCACTGAAAGACAATCATTGTAATGATGGCATTTTGGAAGATTGGCTTTAGTTACTTGTTTTAAGGCAGGGGTAGTCAACTACTTTTTGTCAAGGTCCAAATTTCTTGATCAAGGTCCAGACTCCAGAGAAAATAACAAAAAAAAAGATAAGTAAATAAAAAGATTTTGGAGTCTGTTCAAAAAGCATCTGGCAGTCCAGATTTGGCCCACGGTCTGTTTTAAGCATTTGACTTTTAGGCAAAGAATTGGCAGTGGGAACATTTCTGCTTCATTTCCGATTTCCAGATGTAAATCAACAGCTGCTGAGTAAATGGACTTCATTTTCCATTGATTCTTCTTTACAGAAACTTTTTTTAATGTTGGTCACAAGTTTGTGTATATCTCTTGAGAAATATGTAAAGGAGCGTAATGTTTAAGTATATGTGGGAACAGACTGAATATATTGCCAAGGAAGTTGTGTGTATTATTCATGTATTTCCACCATTTCTAGGGTACATAGGACTCTTCTATACACCAGAAATGTCTCATGGGGTTCTATACTCTTTCAGTTTATTCAGCAGGAATCCAGCTGTTCAGAATAATAATTCATTAGCCAATTTCAAGGGCTCCTTCTCAGAGTCTCAAGGGCTTGAAGATTCCATTATAAATACAGATTATTATTCCTGTGTCTGTGGCACCTATAACACATTGTAATAAGCCGCAAAAGATGTTACTTTTAAAAAGTATTATTTCTAAAGAAAATCCCAATTTATAGTTTAAGTACTGATGGTATATTCCCTTAGTCATGGGACTACAACTTCAGCAATAACAGCTGTTTCAACATTTCTGGTTTGGGAATACCATGTTCAACATGCATATTTGCCCACATTCAGCTTCTTGGCTGTCTATACTCATCCCCGTCTGTTACGGTGGCATTGTGCCTACACTTATGGTGATGTCGGTTGTCCTAGGGCATAATTGCTAAGAAAAATGAGTTTGGATAGGCTGTAGCCAAAACAATGCAAGATTTGTCTCTTCTATGGGACATCCCTGCTGCGAGAGAGCATTGCCATACTGGTGTATTACATCACTTCATATTTTATCATACATGTCAATATATTTGCCAAATAAACCTGCCTGAACTGTGAAAGAAAAGACGACACAAGGTTCAGAGAGGTTTGTAGCTGCTTTTACAGCAGATGCACTAAAGCCCCTCAAAGGACACTAGCATGGCATGACAAATATTACAGGAGTGCACAAAGCTGCAACAACTCTTGCCCAAATTCTGTTTTCAGTCACACACTTCGCAATCCCTTTGAAGTCAATAAAGTAGCTGCTTTCTGGCAGAAATTAAAGCAAGCCAAAGACATTCTTGGTATCAGGAGCAAGCAGGCTTACTCAAAGTAAACCAGGTGGCTGAGTCCAAAACATAAGTTGTGTGTTTTCTGTGTAAAGTGGGCATTCAGCTAATTGCATATTAGAGTAGTTTGTGATATAAGACTTTTCCCAATAATTTTTCTATAGTTTTAATATATATTTTGCCCACAAGAACTAAACAGTGGAATTCATTTGATAGTTGGAAGCCTGTAATAAGCTTATAAGTATGGATGCTTACCTGTTTATTATTATTCGGTATTTGACAGACAACAGGCTACATGACAGGGAGATAATTTGGTTCTGACTACATCCAAAACATCAGTGACAACTCCCCTCCTTCCAGAATGCACCTGAATCAACTTTATGATTTCATTCTGGGGTTTTATAGCTCTAGTTTGGCTTTTTTACTCTTCCCTAGTAGAATTATTGCCTTGGGAGGATTTTCATTTTTTCTTAGATTTACATTTTTGATGATTTCATTCTTAGTATTATTAAACATTATGTCTTCAAAGAGGTGAAAGGATTTTTTAAAATGTCATTGTATGTATGTCATCTATTATTTAAAGTATGTAATTAGTGATGTATATTTTGGAAAAGTTTGTAAGTTCATATTGTGGTCAGAGTTTAGGTAATTTATGAAGTGTGTGTGTCACTATTGTTAAGAGAATGTGTGAACTGTAAGGATATATATTTCCTTAATAAATATTTCAATACTCTCTAAGGCTTAGACTGTTGGATTTTTTAATTGTAATGTTCTTTTTATGTAATTTATATAACAGTTGTAGTAACTACTGGAACAACTTTTAAGAGTAAGTTAAAGATTTTGTGTGTGTATTTCCTATGTTTAAAAAAAAAAGAAATATGAAAGAAAAACCCAGCAACATGTATACTCACAGACAGACAGAGAGGCACATACCCTCCTGAGGGCTTGATGAAGTCTGCCAAAGTTGAGACCTACTTCATTAGTCTATGTAAGAGAATTTGGAGCAGAGCTGTTCTCCTGTGAATCTTATTTGGTCTGTCAGCGAACTTGGGCTTAGATCTTCCCCTGATATACTGCCTCCTGTGGACTTGCTAATGTCTGCAAGAGGAGAGCTGTGCTATAGGAAATTTAATAAATTATTCCAAAAATGGATTCTCCTTCAGGGAACTTTAACAACTCTGCCAGTTCCACACTGCATTGCAGTGCTTTAAGTTCATTATTATTAAGTGTTAATCTGTAACTGGTTGAAGTTTTGAAATGCTTAAATTTTTTATGGTGGGGTGGCTAGTGGAGATCGAGTCAATAGCAGGAAAGATTGTTAATGCCTTTAGTTTCAAAATCAAAATTCTAATAACCTATACTCTGCAGAGGGGTATACAAAACTTTGTTTATTTTGACTTTGGGGTTTATGGAATTTTTTTTCAAAGTTATAAATGGATGAAAAATCACGAGAACACTTATTTTTCAAGAAAAAAAGCTCTGTGTTTGACACTCCCCAAAATATTTGCTCTCTCCTCTAAATTAAGCATAAAAATGTTCATGGGAATACCTTCTTCCTATGAAAAGTTAAAAGGATGTGTGTGTCAAAATTAGACTTCTTATCATGCAACTGTCATCACAACCTTATCTCAGGAGACATGATTAGCACCTAAACAATAGGAAGTATTATTATGAGTTCCAATCATGGCTCTGATATTGAATCCTCCTGTAGGAGAGAATCACTTAGGCCCCAATTCAGCAAAGTATCTAAGCTCATGCCTACATTTAAGCACGAAGTAGCTGGTCTCATTGACTTCAATGGGGTCTGATTTTCAGACATTGAGCTCCCATAGCTTCTGTTGACTTCATTTGGAAGTGTGTGCTCTGAAATACACATATTATAAAAATAAATTCCAAGATAAAACACTACTACATACACTTTTCTTCCTGGGGAGAGGATGAAAGAATAAATGTGACAGATGTTAGTTATGTAATTTAGTGCAGGGGTTCTCACAACACATTTTTTGGAGTCCTCAGAGTGTGGCCACCAACTCTTGCTGACGGCCACTATGACAATTTTTCCGAAAAACTTAATTAACTTTAGGAAAAAGAAATAAATATGCACACATACCTGTCCAAATCATTGTAATGTATTTATGTAGGGTTGTTGGGTTTTTTGCAGATTCAGGAACAACAACAATGTACAGTTCTTTACTGGACCTAAACAGAATAGAAACACAAATAAGGTGCTCTGCATGTTCTTGTCTTTTTTCGTAGTTGTTGCTTTTGCTTTTTTTGTTTCTGTTTTTTTCTTTTGAATAGAATTGCTAGCTAGTAAGTCTGCTTCTGTGAAAAATTATATTTGTATGTTTGTTAATATCACTTTTCACAGCAGCAGACTTGTTAGCCAGCTGTGAAGCAGTGAAAAGTGATATTAACAAACATACAAATATCACTTTTCACAGCAGACTTACACAGCCCTGGCAAGCCAGGGGACAAATTAAGCCTTGGATAGGATGGTGGGTAGTGAGGCATTGGGGGCCAGGGGTGATGGGGTGGATGGGTCAGGGGCCAAGAGAGGCAGCGGGGGCCAGAGGCAATGAGGCAGGTGGTGAGCCTGAACCCCAGTTTCCAGACGCTGCCGCCACGTGGCCGAAGCTTGCTGCCTGCCACCCGGGGCTGAAGCTGGAAGCCTGAGTCCCACTGCCCGTGGGAAGGTGGGGAACTCACACCGGCTGTCAGCTCCTCCTGTGTTTGTGGCTCCAGAGTGGGACAGGGCCCAGCCTCTACTTGCAAGCCCAGAGGAGGGGCTCAAATACCATGTGATGAGGTCAGTATAAGAACCAATATAGAATAGAATAGCAAAGCTGTCAGAGGATGCTCATTATATTACTATGTTAATATGTTACTGAAATCATTATTCCTTTTTAAAAGTGTTTTCTTTCAAAGTTCTTTCTTTTTGTTGGTTTTCATTGTCGTTTGTTTCTCTGTAAGTGGTATCATTAAAAACCAACATGCTTTTTGCTGGCCTTATCAGGGTGGGTGTTCACTCCCAGAGAATGTTCGTTAATTGCTTACTCATTGTGTAAACGGTAGTGCATCTGTCAATTATCCTGTTTCTTGTGATGCATAACTTTTACTGGCATTGTACAGAGAGAAGTCCTCTAGATCTAATTTAGATATTTCTTTGTTGTGTTTCAGTGATCTGTGGCCATTTTTGGTAAACAATGAAAGTTCTGTTACTGAAGGACCCCAAAGACAGAGACTCAGGACCAGATCCATATATTCAAGTAAGTAACATAAGGGTGGGGGAAGCTATCCCTTGCCTTGTTTCATTATTAAATTAATAATAATAATAATAATTAGCAATTAAACAAGATTAATGTGATTGGGTGTTACAAAACTAGGAAAAAGTGTTTCAAATGTTAGTATCCATTGAGAAAACTAACTTTCCAGTGTAATTTGCACTATTACAAAGAGTAGTTTTAGATATGACAGTTAATGTTCTTAGCTAAGTAATAATCCATTGTTATTGAAGTTAGTTTTAAACTGCGTAAATGACTAAATATCAGTTTGCTTTCATATAGATCAGAATTAGGATTACAGCATTTTGTAATTGTTACAAACAATTGTTAGCAGTCTCCAGTGAGAGTCCAAGAACATAAATGGATACTTAAATACCTTTTACCCCTATAATTGGCCTTATCTCTGCAAACCATATTCATGTGGGCAGTTCTTACTTGTGCAGATAGTCCCACTGGCTTTAATGAACTTCATATACATGTAACAATTTGCAGGATTGGGCCCTTAGTAGAAAGGCACATCGGTAGTGAGAGACCGCTTATATCAGGGGTGGGCAAACTACGGCCCGCCGGCTGGATCCAGCCCATCAGCCATTTTAAACTGGCCCTCAAGCTCCCGCTGGAGACTGGGGTCTGGGGCTTTCCCCGCTTCAGCGCTGCAGGAGGGTCAGGGCCGCTCCATGTGGCTCCCGGAAGTAGCGGCATGGCCCCTCTCTGGCTCCTACATGCTCCAATGGCCCTGTTCCAATGGCCCCCTCCGGTGCTCCAATGGGAGCTGCAGGGGTGGTGCCTGCGGATGGGGCAACATGCAGAGCTGCCTGGCTGTGCCTCGGCGTAGGAGCTGGAGAAGGGACATGCTGCTGCTTCTGGGAGCCGCTTGAGGTAAGTGCTGCCTGGAGCCTGCACTCCTGAGCCTCTTCCCAACCCCCTGCCCCAGGCCTGATCCCCCTACCACCCTCTGAACCCCTCAGTCCTAGCCCATAGCACCCTACTACACCCCAAACTCCTCATTCCGAGCCCCACCCCAGATCCCACACCCCAACCAGAGTCTGCACCCTTGTCCGCACCCCAACCCCCCACCCCAGCCCAGAGCCCTCTCCCGCACCCTGAACTCCTCATTTTTGGCCCCACCCCAGAGCCCTCACCCCCTCCCACACTCCAACCCCAATTTTGTCAGCATTCATAGCCCACCATACAATTTCTATTCCCAGATGTGGCCCTCAGGCCAAAAAGTTTGCCCATCCCTGGCTTATATTGTACCTGTTTAATGGATAAATAGAGGGCCTCAGTCTCCAGGGCTGTAAGTACAATATCTTTCAGCAGCACTAAATTAATCAACAACAAAAAAACTGAAAATTCCATAGATAGTTTTGGATTTTAGTTCAGAAAAGTAGTTGAATAGTTCTGTTGCCAAATAGCCCATTCTTATAAATATAAATAGACACTATTTGTGATGCATTCCAATGACTAGATATACTTTTTATCCATAGGAATTAGGATTATACGGATTTGAAGCAGCTTTAATCCCTGTTTTGTCATTTGAATTTGTGTCTCTTCAGACTTTCTTTGAAAAGGTAAGCTTTCAACCTTGTAGTAGTCCTGTTGGAGAAATTATGCCCTATGACTGCCAAGCTACAAAGACTAATCCTGATTCAATAATACCTTCTCACTGCTTTCTGTATTGCTGTTTCTCTCCTGAATTGATAGGGAGTTAAAGAACTTTTCCACAACTCCAGTCCCCTCCTTAGGTATATACCTTGTTAGTCTCATCCCTCATTGCCTAATTGGACCAAAAAGCTGCTACTAACGATGGTGAAGAACTTCACTGAGCATACCAAACTTGTCTCCCTGACATCCTTAGATGATGTAGTCCCTTCTCATGTAACTAACCTGACAGATTCAGCTGGGATGAGCTATATCCAGTCTTGCAGTGACTATAATACTAGGTCAGTTGCCTAGAAAACTTTGCCATGGAAGTGTATCTGCTGCCTAGTTAGAAAACAGGCTTGAATTTAGAACTCTCTTTCTTGCTCTCCAAACGAGTGGGGGCTAGGACAGGGGTTCTCAACCTTTTTCTTTCTGAGCCTCCACCCCAACATGCTATAAAAACTCCATGACCCACAACAACTATTTTACTGTATGTAAAAGCCATGACCAGCATTAGGGGGTAACAAGCAGGTCAGTTGCCTTCGGCCCTACAAAGCTAAGTTGCTCGGGCTTCGGCTTCAGCCCCAGCCCTGGGTTGTGGGACTTGGGGCCCCGGGCTTCAGCCCCATGTGGTGGGTCTTTGGCTTTCTGCCCTGGGTCCCAGCAAGTCTAATGCCGGCCCTGCTTGGTGGACCCCCTGAAACCAGCTTGCGGCCCCCCCCAGGGCACCCGGCCCCTGGTTGAAAACCACTGGGCAAGGGGACGGCACACTTAGTGGTTTGAGCTGCTCATCAGTGACCTCTGTTTGTTAAGATCTGACTGTGCTTTCTTCTATGCTCCTGCCTACAGCATAGTGTGCTGTAACACTAGGATTTACATAAGGGAAGGTATATGTAGGAAGGTGGATTTATGCAAGAAAAAGATAGGCCTTCGTAAGAACTTGTTTGTATGATATGAACCACCTGTCGCCTAGATTCTAAGGACAGTGTTTTCTGTTCTAGTTTCCCTACCTGACGGGTGCCCAATGGTGTGTTCCACAGAATGCTCTAAATAATTGGGATTTTATGAACTTGAGAGAGGAGAGAAGGACCATGTGAGCTGGAGAAAGAAACAGAAAAGAAATGTGTTTAGTAGGGCTGGTTGACATTTTTCGTTTTGAAACGTTTTGCGGACAAAAGATGGTCCTTTCCCTAAACTGAAAACTTTCACAAAAAGCTTTTGGGTTTTTTTAAGATTTTCTGTTTTACTTTATTTTTTTGTTGAAATTGAAAGTTTCAAAAATTTTAATTATTCATTGTTGCTCCCTCTTGCCCCTCCATTTTGTCATTAAATTAATCATAGCTAGGTTTTTGGGGGAGGGAGAGTGTCACTTTTTCATTTTTCCCTTAGCCACTATAACTTTTTAAAACTTCTTTATCTTGGAGAAGCTAGAGTGGCAAAAGGAAAAATGAAAATTCAGACTCTTCAAAAACTGGAGACGTTTGAATAATTACTGTGGCAGAATTAGTTTAATTTTTTCTTTCGCTATTTTACAACTTTTCAAAGGTTAGGAAAAAAGAAAAGTTAATGACAAATGCACATAATTTATTTTATGGCACCTGGTGGCAAAAAGTGAGAGGAGGAAAACAAATATTCAGACATTTTTTAAAAGGTATTTCCTGAAAATTTGTGGGGAGGGGAGTGAGAAATGGATCCGTTTTGAACCCTGCAAGCTAGAAACAACTTCAAAATTTTCAGTTCATTCTCATAAAATGGATTTTCTTTCCTGTATTTTTTTAAACCCTCTACTCTGATGTTTGTTTAGAAATTCTTATTGAGTCAGTTGCCAAGCACCTGGGCCTGTTACATGATTATTAAAACTAAAAAACAAATATAAACTTTTTAATTAAACTGTAATGGAAACCACCTCTTTGTAACAAAGCCCCTGAATCCCTAATGACAGCCAAAAAGTTTTCAAAAGCTAGAGCTAAAACTCAGTCTTTTACTTTATTCTGTAAAGTTGGTTAAGTTCTGGCTGTGGTGAAGTACTTAAGGGGAAAGTTCTTGAGGAATGGATAAAAATAAAGTGGAAAACATCTGGGCATGAGTTCTGAAACACATTGGAAGAGCTGTTCATCCCACAGAGGAAGACTCCCCTTAGAATGCATTTGTTAAATTAGAGGATCATCTCATGCAGAAGCAATCCACTTTTCAATATACTTGAGGCAGATAGGCAACTTTCTGCAATATCTTTGGGAGACCCTTTTGTATTAAATGTATGAATGGTACCTCTCTGGGCCAGAGACTGTATGCTTTCCGAGAGGTGAGGGTTACCACGGCTCCTTCAGGAACTGAAATCAGTAAGGGATGATCAGCACAAATCATTCAGTTTATAACACCTCCAGAAAGGTACTACCACCAAGGGAGGCTTGCATATTCTGGTTCTAACTGGATTTTCCAGAGGCCAACAGACAAGAAAGTACTTTTGGATAAACAGCCCCATCTTAAAATAACTCAGGGCCTTCATTCTGGTTCTTGATCTAAAGACTGAACTTGCACCCATGTGGAAAACCTAGTTGTCAGGTTTGAAGGACTGACATTACCAGTGACCTATGTTGAAATTGGGGGTGACCCTGGTAAACTTTGTAGCATGTGTGTACGTTCTTTTTGTTGTTGTTTTTATATGTTTTCTTTGTGATGATTTTACCTTAATAATAAATGTACTGGCTTAGAAGGAGCTGTGGGGTAATTTGTAAGTGCTGGCAGTACACTGGCCATATCCCTCAAAGAGGAAGCAAAGGACAGGCACTGACCTTTTAGGCAGACTGGCTTACTGAGGTATTGCAATATAAAGCTGGGAGCTGTTCAGCCTTAAAACCCCCAGGTCAGA